GGAGAAGGAGGAGTTTGGACTTAAATTTTTGAAGGGCTACACTACCTTGCTCTGAAAATACAACTAAAAAGAATAAGTTGTTTAAGGAGATAGAAAGAGAGAAGCTGAAAAGGAAAACTGACATCTTTTCCCACTTCTTCTGTGGGGTGGTGTTAAGTTCTAAAAGAGATGCCTAAATTCTTTGCTCCAACCTCAGCAACTCTAGCTAACATCCACCTGGCTCATTCCCCTCTTATACCAATATCCATCATAACAATATCTAACAACAAATAGATAATGTATGCACATTAAAGAGATTTCTGTTTTAAAAATCAACAATTAACTACTTCATAATTTTTAATTAACATGAGTACATTTGAAAGATTTAATTTCTAGGGCATACCTCTTATAGCTGATGCCCCATGCTAAATGTAAACTTTGGAAAGAACAACAGGAAACCCTTGCTATTTGCGGGTTCGGCATTCGCAGTTTCAAATATTCGTGAATGCTGAACCCGCATCTTAAATACACTTAAAGGAACTCCTCGGGAGCTCTACTCTTGCCACTGCTGCACTCCTGCCACCACAAAAGCAGCTGCGGCCTCCCGCCTCCTCAAACGTCAGAGGCACTGTGTTCATGAATGCAGCGCCTTCTTATTCATGGATTTCACCATTCACAGGGGATATGGTATCCCCCACAAATGGCGAGGGTCTCCTGTAACACATTAGTTTAAAAATAGGATGATCTTGAACTCATGGCTAGGAATTTTCTTTCAAATGAAAGTCTGTATTCTGGAATTTCTATTTTAATGAATGACTTGTATAAGCTTCATAAATCACAGAATACAGAGGTTAATTTAGAAAATGTGATCAATAAAACTATTTACTACCCCTCCCCCTGGTTTCTGCTTCCTGTCCCACTCCAGGGAACAGGCCAGAGCAGCACTGCACATCATGAGCTGTCCTAGCAGTGTGGGCACTAAGGCTCCAGCGCAGCACAGTAGAGAAGCCCACACTCAAGGAGCTGAAGGTGGAGCCGGGGCATCTGCAGCTGTGTACATGGTGCAATGGGGTGGGGAGATGGGAAAGCACCCAAATGCTTGGAAAATATCCACATGCCCAGGACAGCAGAGGCAGGAAAAGGAAGTGGGAAATGCCCATGTGCACTGGGCACATGAGAGGGCTCCCTTGGTACCAGAGAATCACCTAGAGGGCCTGTGGCTCTGGCCCACACTTCCCCTTGGTGAGGCCTGCAGGGCATACAGCTCCCAGCCACTAAATCGGATAGCCCTGATCTAATGTACTGACTTTAATACATTATACCATTCTAATGACTTGGAAGTCTTGAGAAGGTTAACATGCGACTACAACCTAAGGTACTACCCTGCCCTACCTTCAATTTTAAACAGAATTAAAGTTATGGTAATACATGACAAGCATACACAGTACTTTACTAAAACTAGATATTCCTCTAAAATCTAAATTACTATCATTGACTTTTATCAACATAAGGGACCTATTTATCTATAGATAAGCTTCCCCACAATCAAATGATTTATGGATTATCATTATCATATCACAATGTGTTTAGCATTAATATAGAACTTGTACAACTGAGAATGATGCCACGTCTCTTTTCAGGTGCAACATTTCTTACAACATTTCTATTATGGTAATGCATGATCCTGCCCATAGAAAACTGTCCCCACTCTGTTATGCACTGTACAAACAGAAAAAAAAGACAGATCCTACTTTAAAGAGCTTATTATGGAAGACGCTGCTCATTTTTATTATGAAACATGGCCAGGATACTTTAAAAATGAAGTAAGTTTTATAAAATTCCCTTCAACTGTGATATTTTCTTTGTTACCCATTTTATAAACACGGGTATTATGATATACAACATGTCAAATAAGTAACACAATCTTAATTAACTTTCCCTTTATCTCTTCATAACATTTTTTCCTGCATCCTTAATTAAGAAATTTAAAACACATTTGTTAAGACTGGGGCTATAGCTTGGTTTCAAGTACCATTTATAACTTTGACCAAGACCATATACAATAGCTATAATAGTAATGCTCCCAACAGACAGCCAAAGAGAAGCATTCAACAAGCAAACAGACAAGTTAAGGAACAACTTGCTCCTTTAGGTCTCCCTGTTGGCATAAAAGGCTCCTTTATGCTTCCCTACTGGGGAATTCAGGGAATCTGAGTATCTGCATGATGGCACTAAGGACACTACGATTAACTGGCTGCGTGCAGTATTCTTTAATTTATTCAGCATACGACAGAAGAGGTGTCCAATGATTCTATGCTACTTCAGTGACTGCAGGCAGGATCAGATGGCCAGTAGTGGTCTACATGCCATACTGGCATGTTTCTGAACTGGATGTTTTGAATTTCTAGTTTTCATCTTTAAACAAAAGTCAACTCTCTAATTGTGACAGCTGCACAGAGAATTTCAACACCATGAACAGAGCAACTGATGTTAGAATGAGTCTCTAAAATCTGGAACAATGCCCTCTGACAGATATACAACCTATCAGAGTTCTCTGAAGCCATCGAGAAGCATGCACATCAAGGTGACCCTGTGTATTGTGACATTGCGTGGGTTTGATTTTGGGCGTTTTTGATATTGGGACTGTATTTAGACCACTGATTCCCAACTTTTACATACTTCAGGAAGCCCTTGTTAGACTCAAGGCACCCATCAGAAAGTGCCAGCTCTTAGCTTTCAGTCATTTTTTAACTACAGAGAACAATAGAGCAATTCTTCTGTTGCAAAAAATTCAAAAAGACCACAGCAAGTCAAAATGTTTCTGATGCTATGAATTCTTACTGAAATCTCTGGGTTTATCATGTGAACCATGTGAGGTATGGTTCACCCTAATGGACACTTTGCAGGTACAAAACAGGGCCCTATATACCCAAGTGGCAGCCTTACGACAAGAAAATCCAACCCTAAGGCTACAGCCAGACCAACCAGCAATGGTTTCAACCCCGACCTGCCATCTCCCATCACTTTCACAAACCTAAGGTTCCACTGCCAGAATGCTTTAACAGCAACCTGGAAAGGTTCCAGGTTATGAACCAGCATTGCTTATTTACCTTGTAGCCCAAAGCAGCCAACAGACAGGGTCAATGTGAGGCTGGTAATCAGCCTACCAGCAGGGCTGTACCTCACCCTGTGGCTCCTTGCTGCTGAAAGGCTCCAGCCCCCTATAGAATGACATGGAGGAGTTCCTTAAGGCCGTGTCAGTGCAATGTCAACCCCGTTAAGCCACAAACTGCCAAAACAGTCCTGCAGACCCTGAGGAAGGTTCACTGGACCAGGAACAAGTATGTGGCCAAGTTACTTCCAGCTGGGGCATAAGACAGAATCCTCTCCAGCTGGGCCTAGGCTCATTACAGTACTTTCTACGACACTGAGAACATAATCTCTCTACAGGTTAGCAAAGCACTCTGGGACATGTTTATTGTGAGCTACTTAGACGTAACAGTACAGAACAGTGGTGCTCAAACTCTGGCCTGTGGGCCAGATCCAGCCTGCAGAGCCATGTTATCCAAATAACCAATATACCAAATACTGGTATAGAAAGAGAAGATTTAGCCCTTACCAAGCTAAACCTATCTGTGCTCAGGAAGGAAAGAGCAACATTAACATAATAAGTTTAGAGATGAGTAAGTCATCAGCAGCTTCAGCAATTCATGTACAGAACAGAAGCTTTCCCAAGAGTGCAACAAAGTGATGCAGGGCAGAGAACAATTACAAGCAGTTCGCTGTAGTTTTTGTAATTACAAGTTTCTGCAACAGCTTTTCAAGAGACACCCGCAATTCAATTACTGTGTAATCATTCATTGCATGAGTCATAAAACTGAAGTTTTAATGCTCAGCAAAACAATAAGATACTGGAAGTCTTGCATTAAGCAGATTACAATAGGAATACTGAAACAGTGCGACTGTTTTGAATTTAGCTGCATGTGTCTTACCTAGCTTTGGAAATACTATTAAGTATTCTGCATTGCACTGAGGACATGCAACTCTAGCTGTGCTGTTTCCTCTCTGCTTTTCATCCACCCAGCGTTGTAGGCAAGTCTGATGAACCCATTTTGTAGAGCCCCTGCATCTGCAAGGTCTCACCCACTCTGCTGTTCGATCATCTTCATCAGTGGCAAAACACACCCAGCAACTTCTGTAATTAAATTAAAAAAAAAACAAAAACACACATCAGATAGAAGCAGGAATTCACACAATACAAATAATTAAAAATGGTGCTTTGCTTATGAAGAAATAATTTTACAAAGAACCTGGATGTGTGTTATGCCAGCCAGCTCATAAATTACCATAAGCATCAACACTTCATTTACATAGCAAAAATCTTCTTGGTAATGCAACAACGTTATGACCAGCAAAATATTAATTTTTAAATATTTTAAATTACTAATTAAATAATTATCTTTGATAATTTAGGGGTTAGACCATGCCAATATTGTTGGGTCAAATTAGAATCACTTGATATTTGTAAAATTAATGCTCTCTTTTGTTTTGTCTATATATCCTTTCAGTCTAAAGTTACTATAAAACAGATGCTGTGCTGTGTGCTTGAATCAAGAGCAAAAAATTGTCAGTAGCCCATTATCTGCAAAACTACAAACTACTGTATGGATTCAAGTACTCTGCGCGCGCGCGCACCCC